GCGCAGGCGCGTTCGGCAGAAGTCGACCTAGGTACCTGGAAAGAGGAGGGTCCTAGGGGTGGGGCCTGGGGCGGGGACATGATCGGAGGGTGTGGGTGGGGACGGCAGGGGGCGTCGGGTCCCGGCTCTGCAGAGGGACAGGGCTGGGCGCGTGTATCCCGCAAGGGGTCGGTCGGGGTGGCCAAGCTCCAGAGCAGGCATTGTGGAGGCGGGGCCTGGCGGAGGCGGGGTCTTTCCGGGGCCGGGCCCGGAGGAGGCGGGGCTGGGGGGTCGCCGCGCCAGCCGCCGAGGGCCTGCGGACCCCAGACTCTACAGACTGCTGTCGCTGAGCCATGCTCCTGGACCAGGGTTTCCTCCGGCGGAGACGATGTCCTTCTCACATTCCTGTCCTTCTGGGAACTAGCGCCGAGCGCCCTGTGCACTGGGGAGGGGCCCTGTGGACAGACAGGAGCCCTGCCTCAGGGATCCCGGACAAGTGGCAGCGGGGCTGACCCCCACAACTCTTCTGTGTGTCCACCTTTGCCCAGGCCCCGTCCTGGAGCTGTAAGCAGTGACCTTGACATCCACACCCTCATGGGGGTTGGCGGGGGAAGGCAATAACAGAGGGAAACGTAAAAATGGTGTCATGTAGGAAACAAGTTGGGTGGGGAGCCAGCGGTTGTCGGGATTCAGTCCCAGTTGGGTGGGTGGGAACGGAAGGAGACAGAGGGAGCCCTGCAAATATCTCTAACAAAAGACTGCAATACTGAGACTCTGAAAGCTACAAAACATTGTTGAAATTGAAGAAGACCTAAGTAAATGGAAAGACATCATCTTGATGGATTGCAGACAATATTGTTAAGATATTACTATTCCCCAAGTTGATCAACAAATTCAACACAATCTATATTAAAACCCAGTGGTTTCTCTGCAGAAATTGCCAAGCTGATCCTAAAATTCATATGAAATTCACGGACCCAGAGCAGCCAAGACAATCTTGATAAAGAAGAACAAAGTTGGAGGACTCCCATGTTCTGATTTTAGAAATTATTACAAAGCTACAGTAATCAAGATAATGTGGTGCTGACACAATGATAGACATATAAATTAATGGATTAGACTTGAGCGTCCAAAAATAAACCCTCACATTTATGATCAATTGATTTTCAAGAAGGGTGCTAAGACAATTCAATAGAGAAAGAAGTCTATTCAACAAACAGTGCCGGGAAAACTGAATACAAAAGAATGAAATTGGACTCTTAATAGACACCTACAAAAACTAACTCAAATGGATCAAAGGCCTAAATGTAAGAGTTCAAGCTATTAAACTCTTCAAAGAAAATATGAGCATAAACCTTTTTGACCGTGGATTAGGCAGTGGGTACAATGTTTCTTTTTGGGTGATGCAATGTTTTAGAATTCATCATAGAACTGGTTACACATATTTGTTAATATAATTAAATCTATTGAATTGTACACATTAAATGGGTGAATTGTATGACATGAGAATTATATCTCAATATAGCTGTTAATTAAAAAAGAGAATTACAGGCTGGCTGAGTGGATTAGTTGGTTAAGAGCTTACTCAAGGGCTGGCAGAGTGGCTCATTGGTTAAGAGTTGGCTTGGGAGCTCAATCTCTTAGCAAGAGGGCTGCAGATTCGAATCTCACATGGGCCAGTGACGCTGCGCCCTCTGCAGCTAAGATGATGAACAACAGCTCAACCTGGAGCTGGGCTGCCATGAGTCGCCAGTGAAGATGTAGGCTGCAGTGGGGCTGCAGTGGGCTGCCATAGCTATCAGGAGTGGCCAGCAGCTGGTGTGAGCTGTTGTGAGCCACGGTGAGCGGCCGTTCAATGGTCCGCGACCGATCTGCCTCAGCCGGGAAGAGCGCAATGATAATACCAACATGGACCAGTGAAGCGACATCCTCCACAACTAAACTGAAGAACAAAAGGACAGAAACTTGTTTGTTCCCCTTCCCCTGACTCCCCAGAGCTGTTCCCTCCCCCAATTTCCCAATAAATTAAAAAAAAAAACCTCCAAAAAAAACAAGAGCTTGCTCAAGAGTGCGAGCTCTGAGCAACAGGATCGCCGGTTCAATTCCCACATGGGCCAGTGAGCTGCGCCCAAGCTGAGCTGATGCTGAGCTGCCAACAGGTGGCAGGATGGCTTAGCTAGTGAGAGCACATGCGTCTAACAACAAGGTTGCCTATTTGTGATGTTGGGCTATGCCCACCCGCAACTAAAGACTGAACTCGGTACCTTGAGCTGAGCTGTGCGACTGGACTTGGAACTGAGGTTGCTGGGCCCTCCACAACTAAGATTGAAAGACAACAACTTGGCTGTTCCCCATCCTCAATTCCCCAACACTGTTCCCCTCCCCAACTCCCCAATAAAACCTCTAAAAAAATAAAAATAAAAAAATTAGTACATAAAAAAGAGAATTACAAAGAAACTACAAAATATTTAGAATTGATAAAAAGTAAAAGTGCTATGTGCTCATCTCTATAAGAAAACATAAAAATAGTTAACTAATTTACACCATAAATACACACACAGGTATACATAAATATCTTATGCTATCCAGACAACAGTTAGATACTTATCTCAAAAACACAAAAATGAGGGGGTGGCCGGTTAGCTCAGTTGGAGCACAGTGTTCATAACACCAAGCTTGCCGGTTCGATCCCTACATGGATCACTGAGCTGTGCCCTCCACAACTAGATTGAAACAACTACTTGACTTGGAGCTGATGGGTCCTGGAAAAACACACTGCTCCCCAATTAAAGAAAAAAAAACAAAAAACAAGGGCCGGCTGAGTGGCTCAGTTGGTTAAGAGATTGCTCAAGAGTTTGAGTTCTGAGCAACAGCGGTTCAATGCCTGGCCTGAGCTGAGCTGCTGCTGAGCTGCCAACAGGTGGCAGGATGGCTCAGCTAAACAAACAAACAAACAAACACAATGAGATACAACTTTATTTTAAAAACCACAAAAATGAAAAATTAGATACCCTCTCCCACAATACATACCAAAAAGATGAGATGTCTGTTTCATATTAGTTTCATATTATGTACAAAATATTAGATATTCAATATTTACAGCACAAACACACAAATGGATGCACATCACTCTACACACACAAAACAGACACCGATTTCCAGCATATAACAAAAATTTGGTGCCTATCTCATACCCTACACAAAATTTCATGCCACACAATAGACCGAAAAATGAGATATTAATTTCAACCATATAGAGAAAAAAGTTGGACACCCTCACACTTTACACAAATAGACACACATCTCACAAATACACACACACACAGGACACTTACTTTCTACCTCAGAACACCATGCTAAAATATTCATCACACCAGAGTCACACACAAAAAGTTAGATACCCATCTCGAAATATTTTTAAAAGCTAGATGCCATTGGGAAGCAGTGCCCCATGGACACATCATGTTTCTGATTCTGCACACCCAGGTCCTCAGAGCAGTGTTTACAGCCACTTTTAGAATGTTTGTTTAGAAGCCATTCCAGGGTAGACAGGAAAAAGACCCCCTGCCCTTCCCCCTCCCTGGAGAAGATGCTTCCATTCCGGAGTACAGAGAAGGTCTCTCTCTGGAAGGCAGGTGGGTGGCCACCAGGACTCCTGTCTAAGATGAGAGTTCCCTAACGTCAGGTCCTTCTTCTGCACATGCAGGTGCCACCTGGATGCCCCCTGGAGACTGGAGCTGCAGGGAGCTGTACCTGAGTGTGACGTGGGCTCTTTGCCTCTGGCCCACATCGTGTGCGCCCTGCATATGCACACACAGAGATGGTGGTAGCCTACCTTGGTAGCTTGCAAGGAGAGCGAAATCTCAGGCCCCTTCACAGTCCCTGACTTAACACACACCCATTTCACACCAGACACACACACAGCTTAGACACTCTTCATATACTATACACCAAAGAAGTAGATGCCCATTGTTTCCCATTCAGACAGAAAAATTAGATAACCGTTTCACCCACACATACAAAGAGACAGCACATACCACCAGCCACGCAGGCCTACATGGCACACCCTGAACACACACCTGTGCCCAGCTCATACCAGACACAGAAGCAAAGTAAGTGAGCCTCAGGACACGCACCACACTGGCTAACCACGCCTCCCCGTCCTCGCTGTCCCTCACAGACATACACACTGGATGCTACCTGTCTCCGTGCCCATCTCACACACACACTCAAACGAGAAAACCAGCTCTTTCCACTTCTTTAACAGGCTGACTAGCTCTGGGCAAAGGGGATAGGATGGGACCACAGAGTCCTCGAGAAGGGCCAGCAAGCTGGGCCTCAAATACTTGCTGCCACAACTTTGGGGTGTATGTGAGCCCCATGTGCTGGCCTTCCCCAGACTATGATAGAGGGAGACAGGGCCAGCGGGGGTTGGGGGTGGACTCCCAAGGGCTTCTCTCTGTTGCAGGCCAACTGCAGCCAGGCCATTGAGCAGAGCGGGTCTTCAGGGAAAGAGGTTCACGTCCCCATGCAGACGTGTCAGCTGCCTTCAGTGGCCAATGCCCTGCTTGCCTGCCATGTGGACAGGGAAGGGTCGTGCTGTCCTTTCAGAGGAAGCTGGGAGTCCAGACTCTGCTCGGCCCACTCAGGCCCCTGTCCCTGGGCAGCAGTGGGGTGTGTGGGCTTTCAGTGGACCTGACCCCCAAGGGGAGCAGCACTGGCAGGCCCGGAGGAAGGCATGGATGCCAGAGGGGCAGGTGGGGGTGCCCCGTGGAGAGCCTGCCGGGCCGGCCAGGCCAGCGGGGAATGCAGGAGGGGCATGAGGCAGAAAGGTCACCGGCCCCACTCACTTCTATTCTCAGCCACAACTGTGATTTGGCTGCAGGCATCTGGGTGTGGACAGACCGGGCTCCTGACCTCACATAGCAGACGCTCCCTGAGAGGAGCAGATTAAAAGCCAGGTAAAAAGGAACAGGATGGGGCTGTGACCGCCTCACCATGTTAGGTGAGATTTCTTCCCAATATCGTCCTCAGCAAAGGAGGTGTTGCCTCTGCTCCAGCCTTGCAAAGCGACTGCTCTCAGCTGCTTAATTTTGAGGAAGATACTGTTTAGGGAAAGACACATGAGCCTGAAAAAGCTGCAGCTATCTTGTTGGGATGTAGACAAGGGTCTATATTTGGTTAGGTGAAAAGGAGATAAAGAAACCGAAATACAGAGTTAGTCATGATTGTGTGTGTCGAATGACATTTTAAACAAGTCTTTAAAGATAATTTTGGAAAGCAAGAGTATGTGGCTTTTGCATGATCACTAAAAGATACCCTCACGACGTTCGGTCCGAAGGTGTGCAGATGGGTTCCGGGCTCCGCCTGACACTTCTGGGGATGGTCTTACACCTGGATTCAAAACGGGAACAGCTTGGATGCTTGTGTTGAAGATACTCGTCCAGACTTTACATATTTCTGTTCCATTAAATGTGACAGTGGAAAAAGTCTTTGTTCGGCTTCCCTGCTGGGCAGAGTGACTTCACGGGGCCCTCGCTTGCGCCCAGCCACGTGGGCGTGTCCAGCGCAGGGACTGCACAGAGGCCGGGACCCGGCTTGCCTTGAAAGGGGACTCTGCCCCGGTTTTGGTGGCAGACACTCCACCCTGGTCACGGGGCAGGGTCTAACTTCAACACTGGTCCCCTTCCCACGGGCAGTGCGGGACACCTGGTTCCTTGGGGCGGGGACTGACCCGGAGCTCCCGCCCCGCGCGCCCCGGCCCCACCTCCAGGGGCGGCCCGGCCCGCTCACCGCTCCTTCGGCGGGCGGCCGCGCGGCAGGCCATGTCCGGGACGACGACGGGGGACGGGCCCGGGGCCGCCCTGGCCCCGGCCCTGGACGCGCTGCGCGGCTACCGCGTCTACGCGCGCCGCTGGGTCTTCCTGCTGGTGCTCAGCCTGCTCAGCTGCTCCAATGCCACGGTAGGGGAGTGTGCCGGGACCCGAAGGGACAGTGGGGCGTCCGGGGCGGGGAAGTCGGCGACCTCAGCGTGGCGAGTCCTGCAAACACGCAGGTGCGGAGGCGCCGGGACGGGAGTCCCTTCCGGCTGTGGCTGCGCGGGGAGAAAAGGGGCTGGCGTCTCCTCGCTGCCGGGGAGGCCCTGTGACCTACGGTGGTTTCGGAAGGCACCCCTCTCCTGAAACACAACAGAGTAGGAGCACTGTGCACCCCTGGAAAGGCATCCACCGGTCTTCCCAGCCCCTCTGAGAGACGCGACACCTGGGACAGGCCTCCAGGACCTGGCTCCGCCCTCCGTCTCCAGCCCCCACCCCTTCCCCCAGGGCGGGCCCTCCCGGGGTTCTGATTCAGTTCTGAGGTCCCTCAAGGAGGCCTTTCTTACCGCCCGCTCCTCCATAGCTCCCCAACTGGGGTCCACAGTGACCCCGTGACCTGTTCTAGAACTGTCCCCACTGCTGGCAGAGACCAGAGGACTAGCCAGCGAGAACCCAGTCTGCCAGTTACCTGGGCCCAGCCCCCCAACCTGCTTCTCCCCCAGACTCACCCCTGAGCCCTCAGTTGGCTTGTGCTCCTTCCTGTCCCCACAGCCTGTCACACACAGGTGGCCCCAGCGAGTGAGCCTTCCCCCCACTCCCCAGCCCCGGTTGGGCCACCCCATGTCCCTTGGACAGGCACTTGAGCTGGGGGAGCGGGGGGACGATCTTTCCTCTGCCCTTCTCGGTTCTTCCAGCTGGTCTAATAATGAAATCGACATGAGACGAATGAACAAGATAAAGTAACTAAATGTAATTACATATGTACATAGGGAAGCCCACATACACGAGAGTCAGACTCAGACAGACAAAGTGAGGTACAGGTGACTTTGAGCTAAGGATGAGGTAAGGCACTTGGGGCTTCTCAAGGGAGAAAGGTCGTTCTCAAGAAGAGCAGATGTCCAGTAATGAGAAGTTTGTCCTGCCCTACAGATAGGACATAAAATTATTTCTGGTAATGACTCTTATTATGAGCAAGGCCCCAGTTTAAATTCTTTAATGGAGAAGTGAAAGTTTCTCATAAGCCCACAGGACCTCGATTGCCTTCAGCTCAAATAACTCACATGCCACAGTGGCACGTCTTGGGGACACCTGTCCTGAACCCTTCAAGGCTTGGAACCCCCTTCCCATCCCTGACCCTCACCTGGCCACCTGCCATGAGTCAGGCTGCAGTACCGCCCAACAAGGCTGCCCTGGGCCACCGCATGTCCCCTCCCTGGTGGTGCCACCTCTGCCTCCAGAGTGCCTGAAGAAGCGTGTGTGTGCTTGCTCAGCCTCCCACGGAGCCCAGGGACTGGTCAGGCAGCTTTGGCCGCCATGTAGTCATGTAATACAAAGCTGCAACTGGCAGCAGGACCCACAGCTGGGGGAGGCGCCGCCATGTGGCCAGGGGACCGTCAGGAAGGAGGGATGGGCAGGCGGGCGTGGACAGTCTAGACACCACCTGGGATGTCCTCTGGCAGCAGCCACTCTTGGTCGTCACTCCATACATTCCTTCTTCTCCTTTGACTGCGGGACTGGATGTGGAGAGCCAGGCCTGTGCTGGGACAGGGTCTGGGGTCTGCCCTGACTTCAGAAACCTCTTTTCTCTGCGGGACTCACGGCTGTCGTCTGGCCCCCAAGCCTCTGTGTCTAGATGCTGGGAAGCCAGAACTGGCTTTGAGTGAAGCGGTCAGAGGTTGCGGACAGCATCTCCCCTGGCCCCCGGAGCTGCTTTGATGAGTCTGAGAGTGGAGGGGCGTCGTAAGTGGCCTTGAGAAGGTCCTTGGGCACGAAGGCCGTGTCCTGCTGCACTCCCCTTTGATGCACGTCATTGCGGAGCAAACAGTCTCGCCGATCCCAGCCCTGGCCATCAAGCTTACCCCAGCAAAGTCCACTTAGCTCCTCGCTGTCTGCAGCCGAACCACCAGGCTCTGAGAGGGCAACGTGCGATGAATCAGTGCTTAGAGCGAGGTCTGGGGTGACTCCCCAGTGGCCCAAAGAGAAAGCCCAGAGGTGTGGGCCAGAGGCAGCATGTGGGCGGCTGCCAACACGCTCAAAGGGACATGGCACCTGGCAAGGCTGGGAGCAGGTCAAAGGGAATTCTTGTGCAGTGGGCACAAACTGCCGTCCCCGTGTTGCCTTGCACGGTTTAGACCTGTCTCTGCTCTGCCGGTCACAGAGTCTGGGGAGTGATGCGGACAGGCGAGGCCAGTGAGGGCCGGGCTCCCCGCTGGCCCCGCTGGGAAGCAGACACCACACTGTCTGTGTGCTGGATTTAGCTGGCAGGAAGCAGCTAGTTCTGCACGGGGCTCCTTCTGAGCCTGAGAGACCTGTGCCCTGCTATGTCCTTTAAAAAAAGGAAGCAATGACAGCTGTGTCGGCGATCAGTCACGGGTTTGTGGTCAGAACTCTGAGTCAGGAAGGCTGGATCTCACTGCCTCCACCATGGAGGGCCTGGCCTGGGCGAGCTGATGCATTCCTGGGTACTCTCACACTTGGCGTGATCATGAACTTTGATTTGTGACACCCTCAGCTTTGGACCTGGCCTGGCCCATCTCTCGCCTTCCTCCCGCAGCGAGACTGGGCCAGCCCCTGCTGGCCTCTTGGCCCACCCGCCCTCAGGGAACAGATGGCCTTTCACTTCCTCCAGGAAGCCTTCCCCCTGACATGTGTGCTGTGTGCTGGAGGTCTGGGGATGGAGTCCTAGCAGTTGACAGTGCCTGCGGCTGGGAAATGACTCCCCTTTGGGGTGTGTGTGTGGGGGGTCTCGCCTCCCAAACACCTGGGTCCCCCATAGGGATGTCGGCTGGCCTCGGGCAGGGTCAGCACACAGTCCAGGTGTTTCCACCTGGGACTCAATCACCAACTTCTCACACAGGCTGGGGTGCCTCTGGGGCCCTCTTCTGCCCCCCCACAGAGGGGCCCCTCCCCATTGGCCCCTCTGTGGCTGTTGGCCACCCAGCGCAGGCGCTGAGCTCTGTCTGGCCCATCCTTTCAACTTGGGGCCAGAGCCGCTGGCTCCTCTCATCCCCACCACCTCTCCCAGCTCCCCAGGCTCCAGGGCTGTTCTCACAGCGGATATTCCCGCTGACAGCCCTCGAGGCCTTTTCCTTGGAGGCTCAGGGCTGGCGGGGCTGGTGGCCCTGCAGACTCTGGGTGGCTGTCGGCCCGGCTGCCCCAAGGTCTACACGTGCACGGATGGTGCAGGTCCACGGCCCAGCATGCTGTCTGACCCCCACCCGGCAGCCCCCCGGTGACCGGGGGAAGGCCCCAGCCATTACGGGACTGCTGGGCACTTTCTCCTTCTCAGGCCAGCTGCCCAAGCCCAGGCCAGCAGGCAGCTGTGGTGTCCGTGGAGCCGACCCCTGGGCTGACGCCAGTATGTGTCCCTTAGCTGTGGCTCAGCTTCGCACCCGTGGCCGATACAATCGCCCAGCACTTCCTCCTGTCCACCGAGCAGATCAACTGGCTCTCACTGGTCTTCCTTGTGGTGTCCATACCATCCGGCGTGGTGGCCATCTGGGTTCTGGACTCCTTTGGGCTCCGCTGGGCGGTGAGTTAGACCCCATACCAGGGCCTGCCTGGAACGGGGGACCCCGAGTGTGGGCTGAGTGCCGGCGCCTCCTCCCAGACCAGGGTCCCCAGGCAGAACCATCGCAGTGCAGGTGTGGGTTTTGGTGGCTGGAGGGGGTACAGGCTGGCCGGGCAGTGCCCCTGACCTCATCCCTGCAGACCATCCTATGTGCGTGGCTGAACTTTGCCGGGAGCGTGCTGCGTACCCTGTCAAACACGAGAATGGGGACCCAGGCCCCGTTTGCCTTCCTCATGAGCGGGCAGAGCCTCTGCGCCCTGGCCCAGACCCTGGTCATCTTCTCTCCTGCCAAGCTGGCCGCCGTGTGGTTCCCTGAGCACCAGCGAGCCACGGCCAACATGATCGGCACAATGTGTGAGTTGGGGGTGAGGTGGGCGGTCCCCTCCAGCTTAGTGCAGGTACTAATCATCACCTCTGCGCTGTCGGGTGGCAGAGGACTCCACCTGTGGCGGGGGCTCAGGCCTGGCGTGGCTGAGCTGATACATCCCCATCCATCGTTCCAGCAAACCCCCTGGGCATCCTGGTGGCCAACCTGCTGTCGCCTGCCCTGGTGAAGAAGGGCATCTCCATCATGGTGAGGGAGCGCGTCGTGGGGCATGCCAGCGTGAACACGTGTGTGATGTTTGTGTGCACATGTGTGTATATGGTGAGTGCATGTGTGTGTGCGTCCATGTATCTGTGTGGTGTATGCACATGTGTGTGTGGTGTGTGCAGTCGTGTGTGTGTGGTGTTTGCACACTGTGTGGTGTGTGTGCACATGTGTGTGATGTGCGTGCACATGTGTGTGGTGTACATGTGTGTGGTGTGCGCGCGCACATGTGATTATACATGGTGTGTGTGGTTTATGCACACATACATGTTCGTGTGATGTGTGTGCATGTATGTGTGTAGTACATTTGTGCATGTGGTGTGTTATGTGTGTGGTATGTGCACACAAATGGGGTGTGTGCGCGCACATGTATGTGTGCATACAAATGTGCCTATGTAGTGTGTGCACACGTGTGCGCGTTCGTGTGTGCATGTGTGCACGCTCATGTGTGCACGTGTGTGTGGTATGTGCGTGTGAATGTGTTATGTGTGGTATGTATGCATATATATGTGTTTTTGTGGTGTGTGTGTGTGCCTGTTGGGCTTGAGCATGCACGTGTGTCCACACCCGTGTGTGTGACTGTGACCCTGCCCCTCCTTGTGGCCGCAGAGTGAGTAAACATGTGCACGTGGGACTTCTCTGAGTGTGCCAGTACTGGGCACCTTCTTGGTGTTGGGCACGCGTCTAGGCACCAGGATGGTGATGGTTTGCTTGGTGGGGAGGGGCCTCCAGTGGGGTGGATGTTTGTGGGGAGGCCAGGGAGGGAAGGTCCTGAGTGGACACAGTGAGGGTGGAGGCTGCAGCCAGAGGCAAGTATGTCCACAGAGCAAGGGGAATGGTCAGCCCAGGTGGTGAGTGGGTGGTATTGGCATGAAGAAAATTCTGGGGGTGTCTGAGAGGGAGAGTGATACGATCTGGTCTAGAATCACTCAGGGAGCTAGGGCTGTGGCCAGAGTGTCCAGCAGACAGCCAGGGCTTCCTCGAATGAGGGATTGGGGGGGGGGCTTGGGTTTGAAGTGTGGTGAGGGATCGGGGGCTTGCAGCTGTGCCATGGGTGACTGTGGTGGCCACTCACGGAGGTGGGAAGAGGAGTCCAGTTAGCAGTTGTTGGGTGAGTCTGGAGCTGCGGCTACGGTGTCACTGTGGAGTCACCCTTGGACGATATTGTGGAAGCTGAGGTCCCAGATACAGCAGAGCAAGGCAGGCCCACCACTGCTGCTGTCCACCCAGGGACAGGCGGTGGCCAGCAAGCATGGGGAGCCTGTGCGTGTGTGAGGGGCTGCGCATGCGTGCACACACACGCATGCACACCCTCTCCCCAGCTGGGCACCTACGTCATCCCTGCCGGCCTTGCCTGCCTGCTGGCCACCGTGTGCCTCTGGGAGAGCGTGCCCCCCACCCCGCCCTCCGCCGGGGCTGCCCACTCCACCTCAGAGAAGTTCCTGGATGGGCTGAAGCTGGTGGGTTTTGTGGGATCGGGGGGAGGCCAGGAGGGGTGGGCTCGACGCTGGGCTCCTGGGCTGAGCGGCCCTCCCCTGCAGCTCGTGAGGAACAAGGCCTACGTCATCCTGGCAGTCTGCTTCGGGGGTGGCATCGGCATCTTCTCCAGTTTTTCGGCCCTTCTGGAGCAGGTCCTCTGTGTGAACGGCTACTCCAACGTGAGTACAGGCCCTGCCTGGGGGTCCAGCAGCGCGTGTCTTTGGGAGCCCGTCCCCCACAGGCCGTCTGCCTGCCCAGTGTGGAGTGGCCTGTGACATGCCCTAGCCCTGCATTCCCACACCTGGACAGGGTGACCTCCTGTGACGGGCACTGTTGTGATGCCAGGCTTGGATGCAGGCACAGGTGTGGTGGCCATGCCCAAGGGCTGCTGGGACTTTGTGCGGTGCTTCTCTGTCTTTCCCACTGCCCCACCCGGCGAAGGTTCCCCTCTGACATATGGAAACTCGGGAGGGCCTTGCTCTGCTCACGGCATCTCTGGCCGTGCCCTCCGCTGTGTGGCATCAGCCCCGGGTATAGGGTTTGGGCCCAGCATGTTCCCAGCTCTTCAGGGCCACAAGGCACCGAGGGGCCCTTCCCTTAGCAATTGTTGAGTCCTGGGGCGGGGGTGCCACAGAAAGAGGCACCTGCAGGGGCGTGTGTGCCCCCGCCCGCACACAGGAGCACCGCAGTGCCCCTTCCAGGTGGTCCTTGCTGGGCCTCGGTGCTCACTGGCCTCCCTGGGTGCTCCCTGGTGATGGCATACATCCTGAGGATGGGCACGGCCTGCTGGGCCCCTGGGGGAACGGTGCCCAGGTGACGGGGTGCCTCTGGGCTCCTCCCTTCCCCCAGGAGTTTGCAGGCCTCTGTGGTGCTCTTTTTATCGCGTTTGGGATCCTGGGTGCGCTGGTTCTCGGCCTGTACGTGGACCGGACCAAGCATTTCACTGAAACCGTCAAGGTCGGCTTCTGTCTCACCTCTGTGGTCTGCGTGGCCTTTGCCCTGGTGAGAGTCCCCTGGAGCCGAGACCACCCTGCAGGGTGGGAGTGGGGTGGGCAGCTGGCCCAGCTAGAACAGACGCCACTCCTCTCGGGGCCAAGCCCTGCCCGCTGGGGTGACCCTGGGCTCAGCTAAGATGGGCTGGGGCAGGCCAGGCAAGGCTGGGTGTCCAGGGCTGCGGCATGTCTGATGACCATCCCCTTGCGGCTCGCTGCCCAGGTGTCCCAGCTGCGGGGACAGATGCTTGCGCTGGCCGCCATCTGCTCACTGCTTGGGCTCTTCGGCTTCTCTGTGGCGCCTGTTGCCATGGAGCTGGCAGTGGAGTGCTCCTTCCCGGTGGGTGAGGGCGCGGCCGCAGGCCTGGTCTTCGTGCTGGGGTGAGTATTCATCCCCCCCACCCCCTGGGGACCCACTGACCCTGCCCTTACCCAGCCCAGGCCATACAGGGTGACCTGTGTGCTCTGGCAAGAGCTGACATGCAGGCCTGGGCGGGCCGCCGGCCCACGCTGACCAGAGCTATGCGCTGCCCTTGGAATGGCCGCTGGCACTGTGGGTGGCACGCGGTGCCCGAGGCGGGGCTGAGGGCCTGGTGTCTGTGCAGGCAGGCCGAGGGGATGCTCGTCATGCTGCTGCTGACCGCCCTGACCGTGCGTCGAGCGCAGCCTTCCTTCTCCACCTGCCGGGATGGCCAGGACCCATTGGACTGGAGAGGTGAGTGCCCTGGCCCGTGGGAGCCCCCGAGAGCACAGGGCCTGGGCCCCACCCGGCTTCAGCCCCGGCAGCTTTCCCTCCATGCTGTCCTTGGTGAGCACCCACGGATGGGGGCAGGGTGGGGTCAGAGGGCAACAGACAGGGCCCTGGGCTCAGCATGGGGGAAGCGGTCGTGACAGCCTTACAGAAGCCTGACTGCTAACCCCAGTGTGCGAGTCGTAAAACACAATCAGGAAAAGAGACAGAGACAGAGACAGACAGGGAGTGAGAGATGGGCCTGGGACGGCCGCCGGACAGGTGCCAGCGACCGGGGTCTGAGCATTCCCTCGGGGCCTGGGACGGGGTCTGTTTCCAGGGCCACCCTGAGGTCGTGGTTAGTGGGGTCAGCTGGGGCTCTGGGGCTGCACCAGCCTGCTGTGGGCGAGCCTCAGGCAGACTGGCTGTGTCTCCCCAGTGTCCATGCTGCTGATGGCCGGCCTGTGTACCGTCTTCAGCTGCTGCTTGGTGTTCTTCTTCCATACCCCCTACCGGCGCCTGCAGGCCGAGGCCGGCACAAGCCCTTCCATCCAGGAAGGGTGCCCAGCAGCTGCAGACCACGTGCCATACCAGCGCTTGCAGGCCGAGGCCGGCACGAGCCCCTCCATCCAGGAGGGGTGCCCGGCAGAGAGCCCCTGAGGCCATGGCTCGGCCCCCATGGCCCTAGCAGGCACTGCAGGCGGCTGGGAGGCCCTGCCCTGGTCCAGAGGTTGAGGCAGCAGTCGTGTGTGGAAAAGCCAGCCTGGGGGCGGGAGGGGAGGGGGCAGGCAGGCTCTGGTCACCTCACTGTGCCAGCCACAGCCAAACCTGGGCAGGGTGTCAGTGTCCCATGGATGCCACGGGGCCTCGGGGCCTCTGCACACCCAGGGCACAGAGGATGGCCCCGGGAACATCTGTGGCTAGAGCTGCTGTGTAGACAAGCTGCCACTGACCTGGCAGGATGCCCCAGGGGCCAGGTCACACCAACAGGGGCTGGCGCAGGGGCAGCGCGAGGGGCACGGGCAGAGGGGGAGCTGAACGAGTTGGGGATCCTGAGAGCACCCAGCACAGCTGAGCTGGGAGTTGATGGTCGTGAAGGAGCCCGTTGCAGAGCTCTCAGCCTCTGGTCACTGAGTGACCAGAACCCCAGCCTGGGCGCTGGGATGGGTGGGGACAGCAGTGGGGCCAGGCTGGGCTGAGCGGGGGACACAGGAGGAGGGCCCATGGCAGACGCCCCCACAGACACTCGCAGGCAGGCGTGTGGGCTCAGGTTTATTGATTTGATCATGGCTCCAACGTGTGGCCGAGCGGTCATTCCTCTTTCTCCTCCCCATGAGTGAGCACATAGCTCAGCGCCTTGTAGTCCAGGTTGCCCGCCGCGTCAATGGTCGCAAACTGCAGCATCTGATCAACCTGGCAGCAGGGCGGGGGGTCAGGGCTAGGTCAGGGCAGGGGGGCAAAAGGGTCCCCAGGGCGAATTACAGCCACTGAACTCCACCTGGCCTCCGTCTGGTTCTGTGCTTGAGGGGCGTGGGAGGGGGGCACTGCAGAGGGAGGGGCGGCTGTGCCAGGCCACGCAGTGTCCCGCCCACAAGTAGGCCAGGCCTCGGGGGCCGGGGCACACCCCCCTGCAGCCCCTGCGGTCCCGAGGTATGTGCTTGGGTTTCCCAGGGGGCCATGTGGGAAGTAGGTGGTGGGGGCCAAGGGGCCAAACCTCATCAGCGGTCATCTTGTCGGCCTGGGACATCAGCAGCCGCTTGATGCTGAGGACAAGGCAGGAGGAGCCCAATCAGGACGCTCTGAAGAGTGACCAACATGACCAGCAGGACGGTGGCCCTAGGGCCGTGACCTGGGTCCGTTCCCACAGCGGCTCCGCCATGGGGCGGGGACTCCCGGAGGGCAGGCTCGCTGAGCCCTGGGCACCAGGGGCCTTTCCTGACACACTTGCAGGGGCCACTGAGGGGGCGTAGAGGAAATCACGGCATGCCAGACATGCCTGCCCCAGCGCTGAGCCCGGGAGCCCCCAGACCCAGTGGTGGTCCGAGTGGGCAGGACGGGCTCTGCCCTTGGTTGCCCTGAGGGACTCAGGGTCTTGGGGTGTGGGGTTTGGGGGAGGGCTGGTGTACCCAAGACCCACAGGCAGGCGGGTGCCTGTGGCCATACTCACTAGTCCTTGTTGATGCTGCCTTTGCCCTCGGGGTCCAGCATCTTGAAGGCGTTCAGGATGGTGTCCTCAGCATCCGTGCCTGCCCACAGAGACCACAAGCCGGTCAGTTCCACTCTGTCCGACTCCAGCCACCCCAGGCCCCCTCCATCCTGTGTCCTCAGCCTGAGCGCCTCCCACCCTGGGGGCTATTCTAAGGGGCAACAGGGTCCCCAGGCCAGAGCCTGAGTGCTCAGTGAGTGAGGGGCAGACAGGAGGTGGGGCTGGGGCTGAGCGTCCGGCTCCCACGCTCTGCGAGGAAGGGGCACAAGATGATATGGGCTCTGGGGCTTCTCAAGAGATCTCCAAGTCTGGGCTTCTGTGTGAAGCGTCTGCGTTCATTGTTAGGGACTAGGTAAGCGCGCGGCCTGAGGGCTCACCGCTCAGCTTCTCCCCAAACATGTTCAGGAACATGGTGAAGTTGATGGGCCCCGTGGCCTCCTTGAGCATGGCGTCCAGCTCTTCGTCCTTGACGTTGATTTTACCTGTCACCAACACTGGGTCACTGGGCAGGACTGACCGCCCCGCTCCCCGCTCCTGTCCTTGGTGCACTGGCCAGTGTTCTCCAGGTGACCCCAGAACAAAGTTGGGGAGACTGGAGGAGGGAGGTGAGCAATGGAAGGACACCTGGCCCAGCTGCAATGGGATGCAGAACCCCAAAGCCTGAGCCCCAGGGAGGTGGGCTGCTGAGAAGGGGCAAGAGCTGTGATCGGCTTCCCTGGGTGTCAGGAGGCCCCGAAGTCCCCTGGTTGAAATCAGCCTGTCCTCCCAGCTCCGGGGGCTGGACGGCCGCAGGCTGAGAAAAGCATGTCCCCAGCGGGGGATGGAGGAAGGCAGGACGCCGGGCTGCAGTGAGCTGAGGACAGAACCCGCCTCTGCTCTTGCTCACCCCTGGGCCCCGTACGGCGGTGTCCCTCCCTGGACCCTGTCCCAGTCACCTCCTCCCTGGCTTGGGCTGTGCCACCCACCCTGGCTGGCCCCGGTGCCGCTCCCTGCCAGCCCTGATCAAACCAGAGGGGAGCTTCTGCCCGGTGCGGCCCCCTCAGCCTGAGGGATGTCAGGCCCACTGAGGCCGCCTTCTGCCCTGGCACCTACCCAGGGAGGCGTACGTGTCCTTCAGGTCCTCCTTGTCAATGAAACCATCTCGGTTCTGGTCCATCAGTGTGAAGGCCTGTGAAGAGCCGAGGGTCATGGCTGCTGGCCTGGCTGCACTGCGTGGGACAGGCAACTAGTCTTATTGGCTCTGGAGCGAGGCTCACACATTATGGTGCCCAGGGGGACCCCTGGGCAGCAGCCTCTGGGTGGAGGGGCTCCCAGCACGAGAGCCAAGCCTCACCTCCTTGAACTCCTGGATCTGCGTCTGCTCGAAGTTGGAAAAGACGTTGGATGACGCCCTCTGGGCCCGGAGGGCCCCACCTTCCTTCTTCTTGGTCTTCCTGCTGGCCTGAGACGAGGACACCGAGACTGAAGGTCCCCGGGCCAGGCTTTGGGGAGACTATGTAGAGGCTGGGTGGGCCATGGCACTTGGGCCCTGGGTCCCCAGGCTGGGGCAGGTACAGTGCTTGCTGAGCACAGGGAGCCCTGAAGAGACCTTGACAACATGGCGCCTGTCTTGAATTTCTCCCTGCTGGGCCTGTAGTCCAGCCAGGAGCCAGCTGGGCTCCTGAGTGGCCAGGGAGCAGATGGACTGCAGGTGGCCAGCAGGTGCATGGGCATGTTCTGGTTTCCGGCTAGAGAGAAGGCCAAGACCCTCTGTCTTCTAGCCCGACTGTCCCTGGGGCAGCCATGGGGCCCAGATCTCCCCCAGCCCCAGCCCCCAGCACATATCCACCTTCACACACAGGTGCACAAACTTAGCTGTGTACATACACACACGTAAGAGCATGCGTGCACCCCCACACACACACCCACACCCCCAGCTGCCTGCCTGTGCACACTCACCATGCTCAGTCTGCCTGATGGGATGGGATGGTCTGTGCCCTCCCTGTCTAGGTTGCCTGTCTTAAGCTCCTGCCCAGTCCCCCAGGACAGCACAGACGCTGGCTGCCATTCCCTACAAGGACAGGCTCAGGGCACCCAGGGGACCGGACAACTGCAGCGTGAGCTTTGGCAGTCGGCGGGGACTCAGATGCCCCCATCCTGCCCCGCCCAGCAGGGCCCCCAGCTTCCCACTTACCTCCCCACTTGCCCCCACCCAGGAGCTTGTGGGCCGAGGGCCCGGGCGCCGCAGGAACCAGAAAAAATGGCGCCTTTCCCAGATTTGCAGTCGCCATAAGTGGCCCTGGTGGCCAGTCACCAAGCGTTCCCCAAGTATGTCCTATGTGCCCTCACCTCCCTGTCTTGGTGGCAGAGAAGTCCCGGGGACCCCAACTCGTGCTGGGGCCACGCTTCCCACCCCCACGGCAGCGAGCTACTGCTTGTTTGCCATGTAGCTGGAGGGCCACCCAGATGGGCCATGCCCAGGCCAGCACTCAGCCTGGTTTTCCCACTGTGCCCTGGGCCCATGGACAGAGCCTGGGGAGGGGACCCGGCCTGGGTGGGGGCAGCTGCAGTAGCCTTACGGAGGTCCCTGGGGGCACACGCCCTCAGTCACATGGCGCCCCTGAGGTGCTGCCACAGAGATCACAGGGCCAGCTCACCATTTGCCGACACCAAATGAGTGTAGGACAATGGGTACCCTGAAGAGCCTGGGGACGCACGATCCACCTGGAGAGACCTGAGGCTCCCAGGGGCTCTGCCGAGAGGACCGCCAGATGGAGCCCTGGGCTGCACGTAGCATGGGGATCCCACGGCTCCCAGCTGAGTGGGGTCTAGCTGACACCTGGAGGGACCTGGCTGGCTGGGCTACAGGAGTGGGGAGGCATGTGGGTCCTGTGCTCAGAAGGCCTCTGACGAGGGGAAGGCCAGGAGGGCCAGCAGAGCCCCTGAGGAGGGTTCCTGGGGCCAGCCAGGGTCTGAGGTACAGCACTAAAGATAGCCATGGAGCCCGGCTCCCAGGAGAATATGGGAGTCGGCAGGGACAGCTGGCTCTGACAGGTGCAGGGAGTCAGCAAGCAGCCCCAATGTCCTGAGCCAGGTGGGACCAACCCACCCCATCCCCAGATCCCAGGCTGGGTCCTGGGCCAAGGTGGGTGTCCCCAGGCTCCAGGGGGCTTCCCTGGGAGGGGGTGATGTGTGTGTGCTCTCCACTGGTCACTATCTCCCTCCCACTGGAACTCACTGCCACGTGGTTCCCCCATCAGCTCTCTGGCCCCACCTTCGACCCCAGAGACACTTATTTTTGATTCTGGAAGCAGCAGTTGCTGAGTCCAGTTTATTTTAAAATCCGAGGAAGGGTGAAGATATTTGTCACCTGAGGCCATCTGCCCAACTATGCTAGAATGTGTGCGCTTGTGTGTGGCCACTGAGCACCGCCGTGCAGCTCACTGGCCCAGGGAGCCGACTGCACCTGTGGGGCCAGTGAGTGCCTCCATCTTCCTCCAGGAGCAGTGAGGGTGCTCAAGAGGCCTTTCCCCGACCCCAGGCCTCAGCAGAGCCGGGCCTCAGTGAGTCCCAAGCCCTGATTCTTGGGAGCTTCTGCATAAAGCAGCACAAGGCCCAGAGGTGGGTAGTCCTTCCCCAGGCCCCCACACCCAGTTGCCATGGGAACTATGTGTCAGCACAGCAGGCACAGTAGGGAGGCTGTCTGGCCACAACTGCCCCATCTCTGGGCAGCCCTGGTGCACCCCTGAGTCTGGCCCGGCAGTGTTTTCAGCAGCGCTGACCACAGAGCTGGGGGAGACTGGTGGCTACCTGAAGGGGTTCCGGGGCCGTGAGGGAAAGCTGGGGTGGGACCCCTGCCACCCAAGAGCAGGGGGCAGCAGAAGTGAGAGAGTGAGGGAGGTCTGGGGGTCAGTGCCCCTAAAGGCCAGGGCTGAAGTGCACCTTGGCGCTTGGGACTGAAGGGCAGGGAGCCGCCCCTGCCCGCAGTGTGTGAGGTGTGGGGAAAGGCTGGCCTTCACTCAGGGCACACGCAGGATCCAGGCCCCGGAGCCCCTGCCCAGACCCCCCCAGGGCCGTCCTCGGAGCTGACCCGGGGCGGCCGCGGGCTTGGGCAGAACGGGGGCAACTACCCACCCCGCCGGGACCGGACGGCCCCCGCAGGACAGACCGCACCCTACGGTGCATTTTGTAAGCTCGGCTTTCACTTCTCAAACGTTTTGAGCAACGGTGTGCGGGCCTCGATTTACGCTCAGCCCAGACCGACAGCGTCAGGGGCCGCAGGGGTGGACGCGGTGAGGCGGCCGGGGCGGTGCAACCACAGAAACAGCAACCGCGCCCGCAGCCCAGCCCCACTTTAAACCCGCTGTCGCGCACGCGCAGCCGATCGCGAGCTGCGCGCCCGGACGACTGCGTGCCCAGTGACGTCACACGCACCCCGAGCGGGCGGACGCCGTTCCCCCTCCGGCCGCCAGGGGACGCCAAGCCCGGTGCCGCTCGTCGCCGACAGCGCATGCGTGCGCCCCGGGACGCTGTCTCGACTCCACAGGCTTTGCGGGCCCTTCCGGCGTCCTCTTCCGCCCCGGCTTGTGCTTCCGGTGCGAGGGTCACGGACAAGATGGTGCCGCCGGTGCAGGTCTCCCCGCTCATCAAGGTGAACCAGGTTTCGCGGCCGCCGTTCAGCGCTCGGCTCCGCGTGGGCGCCCGCGCGTGCGACCCTGGGGGCCTGGGACCCCTTTCCGCGCTCCTGGCCCCGCGCGTGCGAGCCCCCCTCACCCCCCGCGCCCGGGACCCCCTCCCCCGTTCACTGCACCCCTGCGACCCTGCGCGCTGCGGAGCTCCCCGGACCCTGGTCACGCCCCGCCGCCTCTGACCGCCCTTTCCCCGCAGCTCGGCCGCTACTCCGCCCTGTTCCTCGGCGTGGCCTACGGAGCCAAGCGCTACAGTGAGTGACCGCGGGCAGCCGCGCCGCCGTCGCGTGAAGCCCGCGGAGTAAACGCGCTCCTGGCGGGAGCGGGGAGGGCGCCCAGACCCAGGGGGCGCCTGACGCTCGCGCCGCCCGGGGACCCGGGAAGCAGCTGGGTGTTGACACCGGGAGCGAGGACGCGCGCCCGGCGGCAGGGCGCCGGGGGGCAGCGGGGACCCTGGACCTGCCCTCGGGGCCGGGCTCCCCGCTGAGGAGTGAAGGTCAGGCCTTGATCTGCGTTGAGGCAAGAGACCGAAGGAGGGACGCCTGGCGTCTGCAGCGCACCCGACGGTGACCGCGGGCGCCGAGCGGCTCCGCAGCGTGTCCGCGGCCTTCGCTCAGAGCGCGTTCCCCCAACAGGCTACCTGAAACCGCGGGCGGAAGAGGAGCGGAGGGTGGCGGCGGAGGAGAAGAAGAAGCAAGATGAGCTGAAGCGGATCGAGAGGGAGTTGGCGGAAGGTACGGGCGTCTTAGCGGCTGCGTCCTTTGCGGGCTTTCAGACACGAGCGTCCGGCGCCCCAGTGCGCCCGCAGTGGAGGGGGCGCCCTCCTTTCGTCCCGCCTGGCCCAGTGGGTGGTTTGGGGGAACATGGTGACACGTAGCCTTTGGTAGGCCCGGGAGGTTAAGCGTCTGGAGATGTGTCCTGGCCAGGCCTCCCTCGGGGAGAGGCCACAGGACCGCGAGCAGGCGGGACTCCCCTTCTTGCCGGGGCCGCTGCCCGCAGGAGCCTGCGGGGCCAGGGAGTTCAAGTGGGGGCCGCCTGGCTCCGTGGGGAGCAGACACGGCTGCCACACACTGAACCCCTGACGTGGTCCTTCCGGACTGCCCGAGCGTGTGATAACGCAACGCCATCTTGTAACCTTGCAGCCCGAGACGACAGCATCCTGAAGTGAGCCCGCCTTCCTCCAGAGCGGCGTGGATGAATAAAGCTCCCTGTGTCGATGCTCTGGCTCTCCTTTACTATCGTGTGTGTGGTGTGGACGGGAGGGGTTTCAGACATGGTGTGGGGGCGGGGGGAGCACAGAAACAGTCACCTGTTCTCTGGGGGATCCAGGTGGGGAGCCCCAAAGAGTGCAGTTTGTAACGGAGACGCGGCTGGCCCAGACCCTTGGACGAGCAGAGCAGGGGCAGGCACTGCACGTGTTGGGCGAGCCTGATGCCCTTATAGTTGAGACCTGGCTCTCTAGCCCCCACCTCCGTGAACCCTGACGACCAGGCCGGGGTACTGCATCTGCTGTTAAGTACCTGAGCGGACAACCGGGTTCGGCCTGAGCTGGCTGCACCCTTCCAGCGTGAGGCCTGGTGCTGGAGTGTTGCTGCTTCCAGCTGTGTGTCTTGAACAGATGCCCTAGAATTGGAGCCCCAGTTTCATTTGTTAATTGAGTTCATATGAAAATGGGGCAACCAGCGGTTGAAAGCCCTGCTCTTGGTTCTGGTGAGGTTTGCGTGAACCCACCTGTAAGGTTGTTGAGATCTGGTTGAGAGCAGTTGACTGGCACAGAGTCCCTCTGGGAACCTGGAGGAGCCCAGGCCCCAGTCACAGGACCTTGGTCACCAGGGTCACTGACCACTGAGATGGAAACTAAATTGCCCCTTATCGGATGGCACACCCCCACCCTACCCCTGCTGGGAGCTCTGGGAGGGCTGAGTGGCATCTGAATTGGCCTAAACCCGAAGCTGAAAGGAGTTTCCTGTGGGGTTAAGTGTCTTGCAGTGTCGGGAACAAAGGCCTCGGCGCTTATATTGGGAGTTAAAATCCATCGGTTCTACCAGACAACTATTGTAGTACCCTCTCAGGTATGAGTCCTGTGTTACCCAGTTTGGCTCACAAACTAAGCCATTGGAGGCCTATGGTTGCTGCAGTAAGGGGACCCCCCCCCCCATTGTAAAGGACAGACCACAGGCATTGGCAGTAAGGCCCATCCTGACTGCTGGGCCTGCCAGCGCCATTCAGAGCAGCAACACATACTGTTCAACTCATGGCGTTGACCTTGGGCAGGATTTTCCGATTGGTCCCTATACCATGTGTCCTTGGCGGTCATTTCCACCACATGAAAAAGGGCACCTTGTTTCCTCTTTATTTTATTCTAAGTTTCTGATCATGTTTTGTCCTAACCCAGATGAGAGGAAGCCATATGCCTACCCGTCTCCCCTTGTGCACTGAACATTCTCGGCCAGTGCTTTTACCCCATTCGCAGACTTCAAGGTCTCAGTGGAATACTTTGTGTCCAAAGATTGGAGAAGAGTTAAGTGTAAGATAGGCTACACTTGAAGTTACTTGTAGTTGGCTTTAGTTTATAAAAACACCATAAAAAAATTTGAAAATATCCAAAATTGTCTTCAGTCACTTTCTCAGCCTTCCTAACCTCTTGTAGCAAATGGTTAGAGGCAGAGCGAGCAGGCCCCCGTGGCCGGCTCACAGGATGCAGCAGGTAGAAGACTTGGGCACTGGGCCACCGTTGCAAATTTCTGTGCCCACTGCAAGAGAAGACAGGTCGTGAGTGAGCGTGTGTGCATCGGCCGGCCCCCTTTCCCTCCCTGTGCTCTCTACCAGCCCTGCGGAGGGGGGAGGGCAGGGGCAGGGGTCAGCCCAAGCCGATCAGCTGCGGCTCAGCCTTCCTTGTCCTGGCCTCCTGCAACCCTGAAACCTGTACATTGGTTCCCTCCCCACAGCCAGGAAAACCGCAAAAGTTCCCCTAGCTGAGCTGACCCAGCACAGGCAGAAACCAGGGAACAGGGTCACCCATTTCAAGGTGGGGTGTGCTGACATGTCACAGTGCAGCCACCCCGTAAGAGAGGGTGAACAGGACAGTGCAGGGAAGGACTCCTTTAGATTCTTTTTTTCTAGTCTGCTGATTGTGAAGGTGGCATGGAGTGAGGGGGATTGTGAGTCTCTTGGGAGGGAACTGCTGGTTGAACAGAAGGGCTGTTGAGCGTTCATGGTATTTCAATGGGGCTTTCGTCCCCTTTACACAGTAACACTCGAGTTCCTTCCTTCCGGGAGGAACAGGAGGGCACCCTTTGAGTCCAGGCTTGTTAGCAGATACCCTGGGATGGGCCTCCCAGAACATCTGTCTGGAGCTGTCTGGAGCCCGGCTTTCTCCACATTAACTGCTGGCTAACCCCGGGCCCTCACGCTGACCTGGTGACTAGCCAGTGCCCCCAGTCCCACCGCGGCGCTGCAGGGCCCAGACCTTCCTTGGCTGCCGTCCTCTCCTGGTGCTGCTGCTCCTCCAGGGCCTTCACTTTCTCCTCGTGCACGTCCGCCAGGGCCTTCCACTCCTTGCGGTTGTTCTGCAGTCGGTCGAACATGGGCAGGATCTCCTCATGGAACCGGGAAAACTCCTGGAAAGGAAATCGAGAGGGAATGCACGCCCAGCTGCTCCTGCGGATGGGCCTGCCTGGCGGGAGGAGGGAGCACCACTGCGATGTCACTTTCCAAGCAAAGCCCTGAGCAGGGAGATGGGCTAGGGTCTGTGTCTTGAAGTCAGAACAGGGAGCTTATGACACAACCGTAGTGGGGTGAGGACCCCGAGAATAGAGTAGAAAATGCCAACTGCAGAGGGGAGTCCCCAGGCAGAGAGGGCTGGGGAGATAGGCAGACCTGCAGGTCCTGTGCTCCTCCGTGTCTCTTACACCATCACATGCATACTCACACATGAACACACCACACAGTGCACACACCACATGCACACAAACACGTGAACACAAGCTGTGGAGTGTGGGGAAGGGGCACTGCGGTGGGGCTGTGACCTGTGACATCGGTGCTGGACGCATATCCTGGCACATCCTGGTCCTGCCTCAGCCCCGCTGGGGAGGCAGGAAGGGGCTGGGGTTTCGGTAAAGGGGAGTATGGGCTGCATGAGGGCTGAACAGGGGGTGGGGCCGTTCCAGTCAGGGGTGACTTCCCTCAGAAGCAGGCATCCTCGGGAGTGTGGGGGCTGCCCCCACAGCCCCATGACAGGGCGGAGTGCAGCCCGTGGGCATGTGGGGCGTCACCAGGGAGGGGCTCTGCAGTCAGATTCCCCGCAGCCCCTGAGCTGTGATGCCACAGCACCGGTCTGTGTCTTTGGTGTCCAACTGTCATTTGTCAGTTATGTCACATGTGTTTGCTGGGTGACGCACACCCAGCTGTGCTGGGTAGACCCATACCTGTCCTCCCAGGGTTCAGACACAGCAAGTGTACCCACAGACAAGCTGCAGTGAGCCACAGGTGGGGGCGCCCTAGATGGGCTTTGGGGAAGGGGCATTTGAGGCGAGACCTCAAGGCGAGTGCCAGGACATCGAGAGGGAGAGAGCACATAGCGCTTCTGAGGAACTGACCAGGTGAGGTCAAGGTGGCCTCCCCCTGGGATGACGTTGTTCAGGTATGAGGAGGGGTGCCAGGGCGGCACTGGGTGGTCGAGTGAACCCACCTGTGACCCAGGCAGGCTCACCTTGTACACGAAGGTGCACACGAAGTCGATGAAGCCGACCTGCAGTTTGGGGAGCTCAGACGCCTTGTTCCGGTCCATCATCGGCTTTGGGGGTAGCAGAGACATGGTGAGGCGCCGGGAGCAGGCATGCACCCAGGACTCACTCAACCCCCCCAAGTTCGGCTGAATGTATTCATGGAGACTCAGAATGAGCAGTGCCCATGGGATGAATGTGGGGGCCTGGGGCCCAGCCTGCCTTGACAGGTGTGGCCCTCAGAAGAGGAAAGCCAGGATGCCCTGCTCCCCTGAGCTATCGGGCCCTGGTTCCAGGGCAGCCAGGTCAGCGTCCCCCACGCTCTGGCAGAGCTGTGCTCCGCGCGCTGGGCTCAGGTGCTGAGCGCCTCCCTCCAGCTCCCCGGGAGCTGTCCATGGTACAAAGCCTCAGCCCCGAGCCTCCCTGTGGGGCAAACCCCAGGAGAGCTTGGTGGAGCCATCCTTTGTGTCCACAGACTCTGGACCCACCGAGCTGCCTCCTGTCAATCTCTTCACAGTTACCCATCGTCTGAGCTTGCCGTGGCGAAGGTGAACCATGAATGATCTCAGAGGCCTGGCCCAGAGGGGACAAATGGGCCACCTGTCCTTCCCCCAGGAGACTTTGCTGGTTGGTCAGGACGCCTTTTCCTGCAGCCTTCTCAAGCCCGTGCTCAGATAGCTGCTGGCTGAAGGTGACTTCTGAGGCAAACCCTTTTTCTATCTCTTCCACATGTGGGACAGCTCCATGCTACTTGTCCCGTTGGTTGCTATGCAGGTGCCATCGTGGGCTGGTAGCACATTCCTGAGCTCACACTGCTGACCCGAAGACCCCAGCATCATCCGTCTACCACGGTATGGGCCCCTGGGCTCCAGCCACTGGCTTTCTCTGGCCTGACACTCTCTCCGTGGCCAGGCCTGTCCTGCCCTGGGCCTCCCTGGGGCACTGGAGGCCCAGCTGTGTTTACTATACAAGCTGCCTGGGCCCACAGAGATGCTCGGCTCCGAGCCACAGCCTGGTTCTGCCAGTTTGGGCCTCTGCATGGGCATCACAGCTTTACCCAGATTCGGAGCCACCTAAACTCACACCAGCTCATGTCACATGACCCATGAAGTGAGACTGAGGCCCCAGGACCTCAGAATCCCTGGGGGTCCCGTGTCTGCACCAAGCCAGACTGAAGCTTTCAAAGATGACAGTAGGGGTGGAAGATTCTGGAAGCAACACTCACAATGGGCTGTTGATCCAGCACTGTCCTTTCCAAATCACCTTGTTCCCAGAACTCAGCTGCCACCAGCAGAGCGACCTGGAGGGCACAAAAAAGCAATTACCCTGTGGAGTTCAGGGCTTCGTCAGAAACTTCCTAGGAACATGCAGCAGGCTCTGTGCCCTCCGTCTTCTCCACCCCAGACCTACTGGTAGCCCACAATTTAGGCCTGATGGACAGTGAGCACAGCGGCAGCTTCCACCACAGCAGCTGCTGGCCTGGCCCCAGGCCCCGCTCGGTGCAGGCCCATGAAGCACTGACCTTGCTCTGGACTTCCCAGGGCTTGGTGATGGCAGACAGGTCGCACGCCGTCATCATCATGGCCCTGCAGGCACAGGAAGCTCCAGGGGGGCCCAGACTGGCCTCATTCCCTCACACACACCCCCCGTGCCCCCCTGCCAGAGAGGCTTGGTGACCACGGGGCACAGGTCCAAGGCCTGTGACTGTCCTGTCCTGCAGAGCAGTGTGTGCAGCCACTGCTCCTCCACCAACCCCCACCTTGCAGCCACAAACTAAAGTCAAGAAGTATTTATGTCGTGCCTTTTAAGTGCCGATGACATATGCACATGCTTCCTTCTGGGATTTCTGGGACAGGCCTGGGGGAGAGCCTGAGTCTCTGCTGTGCACATGAAGGGATGCAGGCTCCCAAGGTGAGCCAATTATTGCTAAAGTTCACAAACTAGGCTAAGGGCCTGTCTGACCCCAAGTCCTGCGCTGTCTCCCTGAAAATGAGGGGCAAGGTGAAGCATTTGTTTTGAGGTATCAACGCAGTTAGAAAGGAGCTAGTCTCATTCCAGAGCATTCGGGGACCTGGGGTCTCCTGGTCTTGGGTGTGTGTGTGTGTGTGTGTGTGTGTGTGTGTGTGTGTGTTACAGGATTAACCATCAGGCCACAGGAGGGGGTCCCCACTGCTCACATGACTATCTCCTTCCGTGTCGTCTCCAGGGACAGGTACTCCACCCAGCTCTTCCTGTCCTCGTAGTCCTTGGACTCGTCCACAATCTTCTGGAACATTGTCCTTTTCCTGAACCCCAAGAACAACGTGGGGGGGGTTCGGCCCCACCCTCACGGGAGAAGCACCCCGCACCACGCAGCTCCTTGGTCCTGACCCCGCCCACCCTTCCAGCACTGGCACCGCCCCTTGATCCTGGCCCCGCCCGCCCTTCCAGCACTGGCGCCGCCCCCTGCTCTTGACCCCGCCCACCCTTCCAGCACTGACACCGCCCCGCCCCAGGGGGGCCCCCCACCTCCCACCCGCGAGTCCCCCGCAGGCGCGCGGGGCGGGGCAGCGAGGCGCCCACTTGAAATAGAGCGCCAGGTCGGTGGCGACGATGGCGACGTCCATGAGGTGGATCACGTGCTCGTGCTGCCGCCGGTTCAGGTTCTGGTAGATGTTCAGGGTCTGCGGGAGGGGGTCCGTCGCGGTGCCGCCCTGGGCTCGTCCCCCCACCCCGGGGGTCCGGGCGCCGCCTGCCAGCCGTCACCCGGGGGTCGTGGGCACCCCGCGCGGAGGGCGCCCGGCGGGAAATACCTCCTCCGCCAGCAGGAACTTGCCGAACTCCAGGTGATGTCGCTCGAGAATCGAGGAGCCGTGCAGCCTGGCTAGGGGGTTCTGGGACCTGCCGGAGGGGGTTCACCAAGAAGCAGGCGGCGGGCAGAGGCCCCGAGCGTGGCGGGAAGGGGCCCCCCCGCCCTTCGCTGCTGGGGGTGCGCGCGGGGGCGCTGGCCTGACCCGCTGCAGCTCCCGGACCCCGCGCCCGCTTCCCGTCGGGGGAGCGTGGCCCGACGGCTCCGCCCCGAGGCCCCAGCCCACCGTCCCGCGCCTGGGGACAGGCGCCGCCCTTGCAGCCCGCGGGGTCGTCCCAACCCGGGTGAGGACCAGGGGTGCGGGGAGACGCCCTGCCCGCCCACGCACCGTGAGCAGCGTGAACATCGTTTGGGCCACGTTGAAGCCGTGGCGCCAGTTGTGGTAGGTGACCCTCCGGTACCCTTTGCTCACGGAGAACAGGAACCGCACCAGGACCTGAGGGAGCGCGGCGGGCGTGAGCCCTGGTCCCGTGGGCCGCCCCGCCCCGCCCCGCGTCACCACTGACCCCGCTGCCTTCCTGGGGGTGGGGGTGCCTCCTGTGACCCGCCTGCGGCCTAGGGGTCCAGTGCCGGACGCCAGACAGCCCCAGCGTCGTGAGGACTCTGGGGCCTCCACCCTCGTCCAGCCCCAAATTGGGAAGAGGACCCCAGAGAGGGGGCGGCGGTATTTCAAAAGAAAAGGGCCGTTTTAGACACTGGTTTCTGACTAGAGCAGGATGTGCGGGCACCTGGCAGGGGGGATGGGGAAACAGACTGGTGGCTGAAGGTCCGCAGGCCGAGCACAGACCCGGGTGCGGGGCAGTTATCTGGGCCAACAGAAGGTGGCCCCGGAGTCTCTTATTCCTTCTGGGATTTTTAGGGCCAGAAAATTATTTGGGAATCTTTATTTTTTCCTATTAATACTTTCTGTATTTTTTTTCTTTTGTGTTTTCCTTTAGTATTTGCTAAAAAGTCTTTTGGAAATGCCAGCCTGCTGCCCTGTTTTCGGGACATGAGGGAAGGTGGTTTCCTGTTGGGAGGTGGGGAAGCAGATGCCCCCTAGGATGAAGGTGGGAGCAGGTGGGCGCTGGGGACCCAGAGGGCAGCAGCAGAGCTATGGGCACAGCTGGCGGGCTGTCCTCTCCTCTGCAGGACGGCCTCTGAGGACCTCTGTTCCCACATAGAGGGTGTCGTGTGCTCTCTGCATCCTCTCCACACCACACCAAACCCCCACTATTGCCCAGTGATGCACTTAATGACCAGGTTGCCTGGAACTCCTATTTATCACGCTTTCCACCCGCCCGCCCAGGCAGTCATTTATTCGGGGCACACTCACTGCCTGTGTTTCACCTGCCCGCCCCCAAACTTCCTGCAGGACCTGGGACCCCCGAGCACATCTCTCCCATCTCTTGGGGATCTAGGACCCCTGACCATACCCCCTAACACATGGGGAATCTGGCACCACAATCATGTCCCCCACTTCTGGGGGACCTGGGACCCCTGACCCCGACCCCACCTCCTGGGGGATCTGGAACTTTCGGACCACGCCAAGCTCATAGTACATCTGGATGCCGCACTTGACCAGCTCCAGCTCCGTGCACTCCAGATCAGAGAAGTGGAACTCATAGATGTCAAACTTGGTGGGTCCCGGCAGCGTTTCCTTCTGTGGGAGGGACTGTGCAGCTGAGGGAGGCAGGCCCACTCGTGGCAAAGCCCCACTCGTTCCTCATCTCTGTCCAGCCTCAGATGCCCCAGGCGTCTGGTAACATCTGCCCTTCCAGTCTCTGACCTGCAGCCCGGGACGCTGATGCCCTGCTGGCTCAGCCCTCTCCTGCCCTCTCCTCTCACCCACAGCCCAACAACAACCTGCCCAGCTGGGCAGACACAGTGATGTTGTCAGGGAGACAGGTGCAAAGATACACAGGACACACGTGACACAGGCACATGGCATGCACACAGCAGCAAACATCACCAGACGACACTTACTCTCCTGGGAATAAAGAAATCTCTCCCCACCCTCTGGCCCTTCCAGCCCCCACCTGAGAGTGAGGGTCAGATTCTGACCAAGATTTTCCCCAGCTCATCCTCCTCACAGTCAGCAGGCTCCTTCCCTAGGCGTTCTCTTGTTGGCTAGGAGACAAAATAGACGTGTGATGAGACAGAGTGACAGTGTCAACTACACCCTGTGACTGGGACAAAGTGACAGCATCAGTTATACCCTGTGACTGTGGGACAAAGTGACAGTGTTACCTATACTCCTTGTGAGTATGGGACAAGGTGACAGTGCCAGCTACACCCTTCGTGAGTGTAGGACAAAGTGACAGCATCAGCTACCCCCTGTGACTGTGGGATAAGGCGACAGTGTTACCTACACCGTGACTGTGGGACAAGGGGACAGCATCACTTACACCCTTCATGAGTGAGGGACAAGGTGGCAGTGTTAGTTACACCCCTTGTGAATGTAGGGCAAGGTGACATCTAGCACAAAAGAATAATGGTCGCGGCAGCAAGCCCCATCCAGAGCCCCCGATTTCAGTGATTGGTGACAGTGCGCGTGGGGTGGCTCCCACTTCCTGCACGCTCCTGCCTGGGCACCGTTCTGAGCTCTCCTGACCGATGAAGTCCTCACTCGGCACGGCCAGGAAGGCGCTGGTCGCTCCCCCTCACAGCTGAGGAGACCGGGGGCCAGGAAGGGACCCACCCTGGGCTGTGAGGAGCTGTGGGGCTCCAGGATGGGCCACGCCTCCCGCTGGCAGGGAGGAGGCCGGAAGTGACGGGAGCAGTACCAGGATCAGCTGGATCTCATCCTTGTCGCATCTCACATGGTACAGCACCATGTCCTGGGCGATGTCCTTGCGGTTCTCCAGCTTGTTCATCTTGTCGTAGGTGTCAGTGTTCAGCGCTGACCATCCCAGGAACTGCGTGAGGGACTGCAGACGGGCAGCGCGTCAGCCTGCAAGCACCGCTGTGGTGTGCTGCGGGCTCCGTGCGCTACCGCCTTGGACCAGGAATCCAGAGCCCCTGCTGTCAGGGGTGGGCCTCCCAGCGCTTCCTTGTCCCCCTTCTCCTCGGGCCTAACGCTGGGTCGGGGGCTAAGGCAGACCGCGTGTCCTGTGCTGTCACACAGGCGTCACCTCCAGAGCTGCGCCTGTGACGGGGTTTACCTCCATGAGGACTTCATCCTGCTCATCAAAAGGCTTCCCATCTTTCCTGTTGTAAAACGTGGCAACCCCCACAATCTCCTCCTTTTTGTTGACGATGGGCATGGAGAGGACATTCTTGATGACCCACCCAGAGTCATCCAGAGGGCCTTCCTGCAGGGACAGGGGTCAGGGACGACTCTGGGTGGGTCTGGCCCCAGCCTGGATGTGTCACGCAGCAAGGATGAGCCTCATTTGTTGTGCCCTCAGACTGCAGTGGCTGGGTCCCTGCTCTTCATGGAGTGTTCACCGCCGCCCCCCTCCATGAGAACCTGACGTCCATGGACTGTCCCCTAGGGGGACAAGTGGCTTCACCTTGGTGCCCCAGCCACATGGCGTCCAACCCTTACAAGGCTCTCCCGGCCCCTCACATTATGCGGCAGCTCCCAGCTCACACGCCCCTGATGCCTGGCCAGTTCCTGGAGGAGGCCCTAGGCGACCAAGCCCACTTCTCAGGGCACTTGACCCTCGGCCTCCTCCAGGAAAGAGCCTGCCCTGGTCTTGTATCCCCAGGTGAAGACGTGGGGAGCAGACTTGAACCCTCGCTGGGGTCTAGATGTGCCCAGCAAACCTGCAGACGTGAGCAGGAGATACGTGTTGTTGTCAGTCACTGAGATTTTGAGGACGTTTCTTACGCAGCAAAAGCCAATTCAGACCATTACTTCTGAACCTCATGTTGTCTTTCCCAAGTACAATGCATTTTCTACTAACAAACAGATACCTGAAATGTGAACATTTCATCAGCGGAGGCATTCATAATATTACAGATCTGAAAAAGGACCAGAAAAACAATTTCAGCTGAAGCAGCCCCATGTACAGTAGGATTCTAAAAACGACCGTCCACACGATGAGCTTCATGATGGGCAAAGCGGGGGAGTAGTTGGGCCGGCCAGAGGCAGCCGCGCCTGGTGGGAAAGGCGGGGGCATGAGGGACGAAGAGGGACACCAGGCAAGGGCAGGGCCTCGGGGACTCACGAAGCCACTTTCTGCCACGTAGGTTGGAAGGCCGCTGGCCAGGGCCCAGTGGTCAGCTGGGGGTGTGCTGCGGGGAGAGAAGCACAGGGTCAGGTGGACCAGACATGGCTGTTAGGTGTGTGTGTGGTAGTGGCGCAGTGTGTGTGACGCGTACTGCACTCTCTGAGCTCTGGGAGGGACAGGGATTGTGGAGTGGGGAGGAGGGCTGGGGAGGACTAAGGGAGGGGTGGGGTGTGGTTTGGGGGCCTCTGTGCTGCCTCCTTCTCTGCCCAAGCTCAGGCCCCTCATCCTGTAGGAACCCCGTCCCCTACTGGGGCCACTTTCTTGCCTCTGGAGCTAAGCATGCTCACCTGCCTGCAGGCCCAGCCCTGACCTATGGTTCCCAGTCCCTGCACAGGCCTGTGGGGTCCTGGGTCACATGGCCATGTGGCTGTAGGGCTGGGAATGGCCAGCTGCCTTTCCCTGGTCTCTCCAGCTTGGAGTCCTGCCCCAAGCTCCCCGCAGCTGTACTGCTGGCCGGGCTGGACATCCTCTTCTGTCCCAGCCCACTGGGTGCACAGTGCTGGGACTTTCCTCCGGGGCCTCCAGCCGCCCGGGTGGCTGGGCCAGCCACAATGAGACCCCCAAGGCCTCAAAGGTCATTTGCTGCTGACAGGGCCGCCTGGGCAGCTCACATGATCCTTTGGACATCCACTGCAGACCTCACCTCCCTGCCCAGCCTCTCAGGTCAGCGAGTCAGCACGGGGAGCCCACCGTCCAAACTCACGGGATGACTTTGATGTCCTCTTTGCCGTGCAGGATGTAGTCGATGACTTTGTAGAAGAGAATCTCCTGGGGGCAGACCGCAGTCGTGAGCCCCCCACTGGACGCCCCCAGGTGACACAGACATCGGCTCCTGACGCCTGCACCCTGCCCTGTAGTTGGAGCCAGGGAATTGAGGCATGGGCCCGGCCTGCCCGCCCCCGCCCCGACTCACACGGCCGTCAGGGGTGCGAGGGCCTGAATACGGCTGGGCCTCTCCCATCAGAACCGGCCACACGTCGAAGAACTCCTGGGCAGAGAAGAACAGGGAGACAGTCGTGTGTCAGCTCCGAAGGGGACCAGCCAGCCAGGGTGCCCATGGTGCTGGGACCTCACCTTCTCCTTGGTCGTGTCCAGGAGGCCCACCGAGTACCGCTCACAGTTCAGATAGGCCCGCACCGTGTAGAAAGCCTTGTGGAATTGCCTCTCGATGTCCGTCAGCTCCTCAAACACCTTGTTGGCCGACCACAGCAGCACCTGCGTGGGGGCACACCTGTGGGCCTGTGGCCACGCCCACACACACCTGTCTGACCCAGCAGCACCTGGGTGTGAGCTAACATACCTGACACACAAACAGAGCCCTGGAGGCATAGTGACCCACGGTACCCCTCCCAACAGAGTCTCTAAAGAGAGCCACCACTGGGCTTCATCCAAGTACCTGACTTCCTGCTACCTGACCCAGGAGGCCCGGGAACCTACTGGAAGGTGAGGCCTCCAGGCTTTGGCCGCATACCTGCCACTCACTGCCTGGTACAGGCCTCATGCTGGGTCAGTGAGTGACTGAAAACTGGAATCAGTTGCCATGAGCTTGAAAGGCCAGGCCTGGCGAGCCAGCCCCCCATAATCAGATTGTGAGGAGCGGGGGTTTGAGAGTATGAATCCATTGTTTTCTGTATGTCAGGCCCTCTAGTGGTCTCAGCAAAGGGAGTTGAGAGCGAAGGTTTACTGACATGCCACGGGAGGCCTGGACACCTCCCTTCCAGGCCCCAGGCTGTTGTCCAGGGTGATGGACAGGCTCAGACTAACTCTGTAGGGCTGTCCTCCCCTCCGTGTCCTCAGCCGGTGCCCAAAGGCAGGCCCTCCAGGCCTCACCCCTCACCCCACATACCATGTCTCTGCCCAGGAGGAGTACCGCCTGCTGCCGAGCACTCCTCCACCAGGGTCTCCCTGGCTTGGCTCCCTTCCTCTGCAGCCCCCCAACCTTTGCTGTCACAGGCAGGAATGGGCTCTGGAGACCCCGCTTGCCCTGGAGTGCTCTCCCCAGGGGGCAGCCCACTGGCCACCTCTCGCACTGCCACGGGCCCTCGGCGTTCCTTGGCACAGGCTCTGCCCTCTGCCTCAGCCCAGGGGTGCTTCACGCTTGAGCCTCGGCCCAAAGTCCTGCCCAGAAGGCCCTCCCAGAGCAGCTCCCCTGCAGCACCCCGCTTTGTTCCCTGCCTCATTGTTTCCGCCTCGTGTCTTCACTCGACCACAACTGCGTAAGGCCAGACGGCTCAGCTTCCTCGGCCAGAGCAGCGCCCCATGCTCCAAAGTGCTCAATGTGTGTTTGTCGACTGCTTGGAAAGCTGTGAGATTTGCAGACTATCAACTGTGGGTCTTGCGGCCGTCTGCCACCTGGAAGTCCGCCGGGGACCTTGGCGATGAGGGGTGTCCAATTCCATCCAGCGGCAGACAGGACAGAGGACCGCACAGCCCCCTGGAAGGGAGAGCTGGCCTGGTGGGGCCTCCCTTACACTCATGCTACAGGAGGGAGGTGTCAGCATGTCCGAGGGCGGGGGCAGACAGGACAGGTGACCCAGTGAGACTGTGACCGCCTTTGGCTCCGGGGTTCTTACTTAGTGGTCATCTCACGAGAGCAGGCTATCGAATGTTCAGGAATTTTGACAGCTAGCCGTTGAACACCGCACTACTAAGGCTAACTAACGCAAATTTAAGAACTAAGAAAATGACATTAAAACTATATTTGCGTATATTCATATTGCTTTCCATTAGCTCAGCTTCTTGTGACAAGCTGTGAACACAACGATTTAACTAGAGCAAAAGAGAAGAGCAGGAGACCAGATGAAGTGCCTGCAAAAACCTTCATGGAGCAAACGTTCGTGTGCCAGACCGAGATTCTCAGGTGGAGGAAACAGCCCTGTCAGGCATGACGACAGCTGCTGGTCCAGGACAGAGTTTCCATTCAAATTTAAATTTACCTAAAAAAACAATCGTTTTAATGGAAATTTAAATACGAATCTGAAAAGATGCAGCCTTTGAAACACAGGCTCCAAGCTCTGTCAGAGAGTGGGCACAACAATGCCACAGTCGGCGACAAGAGGCGTCCATCACAAACAGAAGTGCACTTTTAGTGGGACAGCGTTTGTTCCTGCACAAAGTTCTATCCATACGAACCCACGGCTAGTTGCCAACGAAATAAACCGAATTCAAGAATCAAACCATATTACACAAGTGGTAACCCCACACAGGCACGCTCTCCAGGAAATGCTAAGCAGTAAGAGGGCCTCGGCAAACACAAACCCGCCTGTTCCCCAGATGTCACCTCCGGCATCCCCACTGTTAGCAGCACTGCCAGCCCAGGGACATCTGTGTGACGGCCGCAGCGTCCTGACCATGCAGAAGTAGCATCGTCACTTGTTCCCTAAAGAGGGACTCCGATGACAGGCCCACGTGGTCTTAGTGTCTCTTACTTTTAATTCATGAAATCGACCTTCCTTCCCGTGAAGAGGCAGGAATAAAGAAATAAGACGCGAAGACTCCATGGAGCTTTAATTAATTTGTCCACAAGCAAAATTATTAACCATCTCAGGGATAACAAATCTTTAAATGGACTAACAATTTAGGATGAAGTGACCTCTGAAAACAAAATAATCTCCGAGTGATTACAAGTTAGACCAACTCATCAAAATATAGTCACTTAGTGATCCAAAAAAGTGACAACAGTGTCACCTAGGGGGTGACAGCAGTGCTCGAGTCCACTGGACAACAGGGTTTGCGACCTCGGGGTTGGATGGGACAACCCTCATCAGTGTGACCGCTACTCATTGTTCTTTTGTGAAATGATCAAAGTCTTATGTGACCTGAGCTCAGGCAGCAGTGATGATGGCCGGTTTCCTGTGTTTTATGCTTCTCCCAGAAGGAAAGGACAAAGAAGCACTTCACCAAAGCGCCTTCAAAGTAGTAGATGATATAATATTAATGTAATAAACACGTAAGTAACCACGCCGGCACACAAGGAGGCAGAGCCCGGGACCACGGGAAGCGCAGCTGTTGTCCCAGAGGCGCAGCTCCTCCTCCTAACGGGACGTTCCTACATAATCTCCTGCCACGCGCCCACAGCGCTTTGCACGGCAGCGACGCGTGATGCCGAGTACTAGGCTGCTACGTCCGTCAGGGCCCGGGTGTCGCCGGCCTCCTGGACCAATACGCCTACTCCGATGGTGTCGTGACTTATGAATGGACATCACCAATACCATGTGGTCACGGAACCGATCCCAGGCCTCGCGTGGCGTGGGTGCCAGCACCTGCAACACACCTGTCTCAGGTGAGCCTGACCTGCGCTGAGGCCCAGCCGCCCATTGTGCCTGGCCCCGGCTGAGCGCCAAGTCCCCAGGCCGCATCCTGGACACACAAGCAGCAGCGCAGGCCAGTGCACACATGGGAGCACTGGCAACTGTCTTCCTATCAGCCCGTCATTCAAAGGGCTCGTTCACAGAGAGCTGTGACATGAGTGCTGCCCCAGGACCGTATGACTCAGCTCCCATCCGGACCTCCAGCCTCAATGTGAGGAGCTCAGTGGGCCAGTCGGTGCCTTCGACCTAGCAGAACGTGGATCCAAGTGGCGTCCAGGTCAACAGTGAACACGCAGGAGACTGACTCGTGCTGGTTTTTTCTGGCAGAACACGCCAACATTGCTGTAAGAAATGTCTTCACAACAGCCGTATTTCTAGGAGCTTTACACCAGCCCTCGCAGAAGAACTCCGCATAGTTAACTTCACCATCAAAGCCCCACCACCTTCCTGCCCCCCTACAATCGGTCAGCTGACACCATCCTGCAGAGCTTTCCAGCAGAGCACTGGCTCTTAGCCTGTGACACAGCCTGGCCTGCCTTCAAGAAGCATCGCACAAATGTGAGAAATACGTCGGACAAGAGAGTTACTTTGATCCAGTAAATAATTGGGGGTTAAATCCTCTTCCCAAATTATAGGAATTGAACCTACTCCTAAGAATTCAAAAAACTCCTTGCTCCCACCTTCCAGCAAGTTCCAAGATCAGGTCGGCTACAAAAGGTATCGGACCCTTACTCTGAAAAGCTGGTGCATACCTTTCTCGTGCCGACTCCTTGCTTATCTTCATCTTAATCGTGTTGGCCGTCCTATCAGGAACTATGATTATAACGGTAAGCTGACGTGATTAATAATCCCAATCAGCTTTGAAATACCCACACTAGCCACTGTCTCTGTGTCAATAAAACATTACCACTCACAAGCCCTAGAAACGCCCCCTAAATATTCCTAACAGAAGCCACCACACCGGTACTCCCTACAATAGCTATTATCATCAACTGAATTTACTCAGGCCAATGAACTGTCACAAAAATACTGATCCTACAGCATCTGCCACCACAACAGCCCTCACTGCGAAATGTGGACTCTGCCCACTGTACTTCTGAGGACCCTAAGTGACACAGGCAGTCAGGTGTCACCAGGCCTAACGTCACTGCATGCAGAATCTCAGCACCTATTAGTGTAAGTGTGCTACTAGTTATCTGTATCCTACTGTCAATCACAGCAGGCAGCAAGGACTAAAGCAGACCCAAGTAGGAAAAACCGTAGCCCTCTTGCGACTGTTAGGATGAATAACCACCGTCATGATTTATAACCCAACCACAATCGTTGAAACCTGTAACATGCACCCTAATAGTGACCACCACACTCACGCTATTCACGTGTGGCCTGCCAGCTGCAATGCTATCACACTTGGAATAAGGTCCCTGCTTACTACCTCCACTCACTACATCAGGGCTCTAAGGCCTCCCCCATCAGGCTTCCTGCACAAGTGACGGTCAAGCAACAAATAACAAACTGACAACTGTCTGACCAGCACTAGCAGCTACTGCAGCACTACTTCACGCGTAGGTGCGACCGCACACACGACCGCACACACCTCACGCGTAGGTGCGACCACACACACTGCATCACTGATTTTTCCATCCACACACAACACAAAAACTAAACAATTTGAAAACGCAAAATGAATAAACTTTCTACCACCCATAATTGTGACATCTACATTAACTGTCCCCCTAACACCAAAAATACCAGTAGTGGAGTAGGACTTGAGGTTAGCCCAGACCAAGGGCCTTCAAACGTCAAATAAGTACATGTGATTCCTGACCACGAGGACTGCAAGACTCCCCCAGCAACTGACTGCAGCTGACCACTTTCATCACACTCAGTGCTTACCAGGTGCGTGGG